TAAATAATATAATTATTGTATCCTGTTGATGAAATCATTGTATCTTTGATTTAATTTAAATCACGTTTTGGTTTAATGATTCTAATTAAAGAGTCACGTAAGGGAGAACGAGGTTTAAAACTTAGAATTACTTTAGATTCTCCAATAATTGGATCACTTGCTATTATATATAATAATCCAGAATTTATGCTAGTTGAAATTGCCAATGGAATTTATATTTAGTATCCATAAGTAGATAACTCTTTCATTTAGAATATATTACAATAATTAGTAAAGTCATATTCAATAATCTTCTATATGTTTGTTGAAATAATAATCACAAAAAATGAATCATATCCTACTGAAATATCAATTACAGCATCTTAATAAGTAAGACATTTGATAATTGTTATTTCCTTATGGAAATCAGCAATGATTATATTATCATTATTAATTATAAAAAATAAAGATGGATGATATATGGAATTACCTATGACTTTACGTATTTTCCAATTTCCACTAAATCCTAAATTTTAAATTAAATTATAAGTGATACTGTACTATTGTTTAGTGTAAATATTCCAAATATCAATTTATTGATCCCCTAGTATGACATAGAGATTATTTGATATAATACTTATGAATTCGATATTCAAAATAGATTAGGAATCATATAAAAAAGATCTTTGAAAATCAGTACTTGATTGTGAAATGGAATACATATTAATTGTCTTTGTATTTTAACAATAATTACGAATAGTACATCTTCTTAAAAGAAACATTAAAAGTTGTAATTATTTATATATACTTTAATAGATAGCTTTTGGTAATTTATACATAGTGATTCAACTTCTATGTTATGATAGGATGATGTTGTTGTACAAATATATACAATAATATCTTTAGTTATTGACTCTTACATTATAATAACAAATTTAGAATCATCATTATTTAAACTAATGATTTTTGTAAAATTTATTTATTTAGCTTATGGAATATCATAATGAAATGATTAAACATTTAAAATTCCACCTGTTTTTATTCTAACTGTAATTGTGTTTTCTAATGTAAATTCATTTAAATTAGATACATTTGTATTGAATCTTATATCAGGCCCAGATACTGGAGTATTAAATGATGTAAATTAAGGATAATCAAAATATACATCAGGCAATTCCAATTCTTAAAGAGCATATAATTAAGAATCTGAAGAATTGAATACTCTGAATATAATAGTTGATTAACAATAATTATTAAATTTATCCAAAGCTCTAATTTTTAGGAATGATCTTTATTAAAATATTTAATTCCCTGATTAAAATCTTAATTTCCAATTAGACAATATATATCTTCAACTATCAATTTATGTAATAGTGATAAGCTCTTAAATATACTTATTAATTAATATTCCTTATATTCCCTCTAAAACTTCTTTGTGTATTAAATCTTATGTAAAGATATTAATCAGATATGTTTAACCTTTGTTCTATATAATTAGAAGTTCTTGTGATATTTAAATTAAAGTTGAATAAGTAGAAATAAAATCTAATTAATATAAGCTTGAATAACATCTATTCTCATATAATTCTACTCTTTAATTGTAAATTACTCCAATCATTTCTTTAATTGATCCATCCTTTTAAATATATTTTCCAACATCAACATATTAACATCAGATGATAAATGAATTCTATCAATGAATTCCAATTCTAAATTCAATAGTAACTATAAAATGATTAATCCATCATTTCCAGTTAGAATATATATATTCCCATTAGCAAAAACCTATATGCTTATTAAACTAAATTAATATTATGAAGGATCTGGATGATTAATTAGAATTCCAATATCTTGTGATGATATAACTTTAAATAAAGTAATATTGTAAGTAGCAGATATACAAAATATTTCTAAAAATGAATTATTGCTTAGATTTTAACCATTTGAATAGCTGGCACTGCTCTAAAAAGAAGTTTATGATTAATCATGTTTGAATCCAAAAATTCTATATATTAAGTGATTCTTTTTGTGATCATTGTTTTATTATCTCTATTTTAATTAGACATCTGAATCACATTTGAAGATTTATTAGCAATAAAGAATTGATTTTATATTGGCTAATAATAATTATAACAATCTAATAGGAATGTAACTTTATCTATATATTCTAAACTAAAACATTGAAGATCAAAGTCTTATATTATAGGTATTTTCTAGTTAAAATTTGGAGATCGGAAATCTCCTTAAATGCTTCAATTTAATTATTATCAAATAATACCTTTCTGAATAGTATACCGATATTTTGTTATTGGTTTTTTCTATAAAAGCAAATTGATTTACCCATACTTTTGAACTTAATTCTGATCTTGCTTTGATTGCCAAACCTTTGTTATTCCTATTATTATTAAAAAGATAATCACCTTCGAGCAATAACTTAGGTGGATATTATTATTGTATAGGCTTCTTTAAACTAAAGAATGATTAGTCTCCTTCTAAATTAAAGTTAAGATAGGACCCTGAGAAGAAATTATTCAAATTCCATTCATAGGTTTCAAATGTTGAAAAGTAAGAAGAACCATAGGAAAATCATTGAATTATTAAATATTTGAAGATACGTAATATTCCTTTATAAATGATGCAATATGCCATTTCTATTTTGGTAACAGTATTCCATAAGAAATTATATAATAGTAATTTTTATTTAAATTATTAATATCTCTTAGAGTCTGATGTAAATCTTAATATTTTAATTTATCAATTCATTAATATTTAGAGAAGGAAAATAACACAAAAATGTAAAATATTTTTTTACTTTGATGATTAATTCTAAAATACTTTATGTTACAATAATTATAAATATTAATTAATATGATATATATGAACATAAAAATTCAATTAATAATTTAATGATCATTCATATCATTTTTATAAGTGAATTATCTTATTTCTATATTACCAGCCATACAATCCCAAGTTATCAAATATTCTCCATTGTCACTCATTGTCCCAAAAATGTTTCCAAAATTTCCACGTTAATCAAACTCAATACCTTCTATAAATTCGCAATCCCAATTTTCAGAATCAAAATTAAATTATAATAAATTTACAAAATATCCATTTTTAGAAAGTAGGAGTTTTCTGGAGGATATATATATTTAGGGAAAATAATATTAACAATCTGATCCAACTCCTTTAACTTAGGGTTCCTTTTGATTTTACATATAATCCAGTGGAATGATCAATTGTATATAATTGTAAATGTTTACCATTACAGGGTTGAAATGCAAATATATTTGTTGTTATAAATGTAATACGATAACCATTTTCAAAAATCTTTTGTTTAATATACCACAATTATCCATTAGATCTTTCCATTAATAAAATTTGTTAATCTCTACCACAAGAAACTAATTTTGTACCATCTTGATTTATGGATAATCCATTTACTTAATCATTATGTTCATTAATAGTTTATGAACAAGACCAATTAGATGATGATGAATAATACCAAAATCTAATTGTCTTATCAACAGATCCACTTATAATAAGATCTTCTGTATTAGGATTCACAACTAAACATGAAATACCACGACTATGTCCTTATAGTTTTGTAATATATTTGAGATTTTATAAAAGGTTTGTGGGCTAAATAATAATTGATGAATCATAAGAACCAGAAATAAATTATTATCTTGATTTAAAGAAATTTAGAGTAGATATTGCACCTTTATGCATTTTAGTTTATTGCAATTATTTTAATTCATTTTTTAAATAAATTATTTTGCAAACTATACTAGATCCCAAAACTAACAGAGTATTATTATTATTAATCGCTTATGCAAAACAATGTTTAGGATATTTCTGAGTTATTGAATACAGAAGCTTATGACTGAAGTATTTTGATTAGTTATTTTATTATTATTGGATCATAATTTAATTATATTAAAACATTCAAATCCTCATATATTTATATAATGTAAATAATCAATTCTATAAATTGAAATACTAATGTTAATATAATAAATAATAAAATTGCAATATTCCATAATAATATGTTTAAAATTATTTTCAATTATTTATAATATTAACATTAGTATTTCAATTTATGAAATATATTCAGTTATTTATAATTATATATATATAATTATAAATAGATATTAATTCATAAAATATTTAAGTAATTATTGTAATTCTATCATTTTTAATATATATATATGTAGTTTTGATTAAATTATTATTATTAATAATAGAAATGGAAACAAAACATCCAGATGAGATTCCCAAGAGATTTTGTTAAATGCATGATAATTATGATATTATTGCTGTAGATTTAAGTATCTCTTGTAATAAGAAATTCCTATATGTAAAATGCCTTCTTGAAATGATTGAAACAAAGAGCATTGTTCTTTCTGATAAGGCTATATAAATGATTAAGGATATGAAGAATAAATCAGATGAATAAAAATAAGAATTGAATAAAATTAAACTTTAGAATTTGAAATAACTATAAAATTCAACTGCACAATTTGAAGGACTTATCAAGAATACACTAAGTAAATTATCAGATAGTATTGAACATTAAATAATTGAGAATTAAAATGAATTAGATACAACAGATTCATAAGTATAAAGGATAGATTTGGAAGAAGATATTGAAATTCTATCAACAAATTATAAAGAAAATGAAGAGTTCAATATGGCTGTTTAACATATAGATAAGAGTAAATTATCTTAGTTTTTTGATTCAATAAAAGAATCATTAATATAATAATAAAGTTCTAAACATTTTAATTAAATCAATTAATTAATTGACAATATAGAAAAACAATTATCAATTAGTTAAGATACAAAAAATAAATAAATTGAAGAATATGTAAATTAATATTATTATATAGAAAACACCATCTTTAAATTAATTATGTTCTAAACATAATTATTAAATTATATCTGTTAATTTAAATTAAGTATAAAATAATGAAAACTTGAATAGATTGGCTTGTATTTAATGTATTTAAGAGATTCCTATTTAATATGTTACATTAAATGAAACAAGTAAGAGATGGAATCAATTTGTAGAATAACAAGATGAAATGAAATCAAAATATTAAAGATAAAGAGAATTTAAAATAAAAAAAACTATTAAATTTATTAAACAATTAAAATAATAATATTAATAGATACTAACTGAAATTATATAATCTCTAAATGATTAACTAAATTAAGTTATTGAAGATTCATAATAAATTAAATAAATGGACATAAGTGTCTTTTTATAATTAGATGAAAAATCAATCTAATAAATTGTGAATATTCTAAGTTTGAAGGATTAGCCTCATTCTCTTAAAACTATATAAGAAAATACAGATAAACATTATTCATAATTTTAATAATAATTAATATCAAAGTTAAATAATTTAATTTAATAAGAATTAATTATCAAAGAAAAATTGATTAAAATATCTAATAATAATGAAAGTGTAATGAAATTATATGATATTAATAGAATAATTAGAGGAATCTGATTTTGAAGATATAAAAGATAATCCAAATATTACCTAATTTCTTTAAAATTGTAGATTGCAATCATAATATTTATAAATTGTTGAAGATTCATTTAATTTTTATAAAAATTTTGAGATCTAAGTAGGTGAATTAGAGAAAAAAGGAGAAATATCAAAATTGGTTGGTGAAGTGTCTTAAACAAAATCTGAATTGTCATACTTCATTCAACTTTATTATTAATAATTTTAATTCTACTCAAATAAAATGAAAACATTAATCAAAGCAGATGATACTGAAACGTCTTTAAAACAATTATAATAAGAAAAATTTTTATTATAAAATAAGTTACAAGAAGAAACTTAAGCCAAAGAATAAAATTAATAGGAACTGTAAAGTCTATAAAACTAAAATTTTCTTAATAATAACAATTAACTATTAAAATAGAAGAACTAAATTAACAAATTGCATAAGCTAAATCATAAGAATAAACTTTATAATAATAATTACAGGAATAAACTAATTAATACAATGAATAAAAGAAGTAAATAGAAAAGTTTGAAAATCAAATTAAATACTAAGAACTTCAAACATAGATTAATAATTTAAATTAAACAATAAAATCTACACAATTAGAACTTTAATAGAAGACCTAGTAAATAGAATTAAAGGATAAAGAATTCAAGAACTTATAAGAAGCATTTCCACAAATATAATTAAATTTAACTTAAGGAAAAATTACTTTATTAAAGGATGATTATTATTCAAAACTACTTAAAACAATAGAAGATAAAGCTAAAAAGAAAATAAAAAATTAATATTTGATTTATTGCGGTACTAAAGATGGATTAAAAAAAGAATCGTTTTGGAAATCTGTAAATGGAATGTCAAATCTTCTTATGGTATTCAAATCAAAAAGTGATTATATTTTTGGAGGATATTCACCTTGTTAAAGGTATGCGGCGTCCAGGGGTTTTTATGGAGCTGATAATACATTGTCATCATTTTTATTTTCATAGACCCATAATAAAATTTATCTTTTATAGTCTGGTCAGATGGTAAATGCAATTTATTGTCATTAAAATTATGGTCCTACTTTTGGAGCAGGTCATGATTTATAAATTTCTTCTGATTTTAATGGTGGATATTCTAATCTTGGAAATACATATCAATGGGATGAATACTAAAATGCATAAAGCAATCACTTGTTTGGTTAAACAACACCTTAAATAGTTGAATGTGAAATCATATTGTTAACATATATGTGAATAATGAAATAGTTATAATCTTCACTATTAACAAATTAATATATAAAGAACCTTCTTATGAATGTTAATATATTAATTATTTAATAAATCCTCATTTTTTAAGAGATTAAATTTACTAACCAGGGATTATGTTATCAATTGTTAACCATTTATAATAACAGTAATAATCAAATAATACAATAATAAAAAAATATTTCTTTCTAAAATTAGTCAGCCTAAGGCTGCTTTGTCCCTTTAGGCAGTTATAAGATTTATTTATAAATATAATTTTAAAGGAAACTTAATGATTATAAATTCTAATTGGGACTCTTTTTATTAAATTTATTAGGTTTAATAAATTAAAGATTTGATATGATGATATATTTATATGAGAAGTTTTCAGATTCGATATTTGAATAATTAAATTCCAAATTATTCTTTTCAACTAATCCTTTTACTACTAAACAAATAGATAAGAGTAATATATCAAAATCAAATACTGGAGTTATATTTATTATAGTATATATTTTCTTTATTTTAGCTAGTACAAAAGAAAAATCAACTTAATTTTTGGAAATTCAGGAAATAATGTAATTATCATTTAAGTAGATCTGATCATGTTATTAAGTTTTTTAAAGAGGTTTAACTATGTTATATTATAAGATCCTTGATTAAATAATCCTTCATTTTACTATTCTATAAAAATAAAGAATATCCTAACCATTTTTTTAATCGGACAAGAAATCTAAGTAGATTCTTTAATGAAAATTCACCAAAAAAAACATCAAGTCAATATATAAGATGGAAATCTAACTAAAAAGTCGAAATCTAACAAAGTATTCAATTTATATATCCATCTGATA